CCCCCCCCCCCCCCCTCCCCTCCTCCATCAGCAGCATCATCTCTGGAGAGAAAGTAGAAAAGTATTGTAATAATTGCTGCAGGCTTGCATGCCACAGCCACCACGCATTACTCTGTGGAAACATTTTTGCAGTGACCCGACATCCTCTGATGGAGATAATAGGGAAGGGAGGCAGCTTTGGGCTCCTTTGCCAACAGGTACAATGTTGCATGTGTGTGATGCATGCCAAGAGCACAAACTGCATCCAAGTACTATATGTACGAATGTGCAGCAACGTGACCAAAAGACATTTATAAAAAGCATTCTGCCATCCATAATTTCTAAGAATTTGAAGGCATGTAGGAGAGGGACAGTAAAAGGCTGTGACAAACTTGTTACACTCATGTACTGATGATGATTATCTGCTGGGAAAGGAGTAAACAAGCACAGCTGGTAGGGAGAGGGGCACAGAGGATTTGAATTAGATAACACTGTATGTGCACAATGGACTTTAGCCAGTGCAAAAAAACGGATTTGCTTTTGTTTGTTTTTTTTGCTTTAACTTGTTACACTATTTTTCTATTGTGTCTTCCTGACAACAGTTTGTCCATTTACAAAGAACATGTCAATGTGTCAACGTTTGGGCATGTTCACCTGCGTCTTCACCTCTATACTGCACATGAATGTTCATCAGGCAAAGCAATACCATAAGCACATCACAGCGTAGATGCTTATTATTATCATTGTGTAATACCCATAAATACACGATTGCACTGTGACAATCTGCCAAGTAAGTCTCACCATGCAATACATGTCTCATTATGTCTAACATCTCTGATGATGCATGTAATATAACGCACTGAAATGTGTACGGTGGTCTGATAATATGGCTTATTAATGACCCAATTTTTGTGGCTGAACAGCAGGAGGGTTTCTGGGTTATGAGAACAAGCAATTGCCCGGATGATTAGCCAATCACAATATCTGGTTACTTACAGCCTGTTCACTTTTGTTTCAAGGAGACAGATCAAGACAATCAAAGCAGCTCAGATATGTGTCTAAATTGAAACATTTGTTTTTATTTTTGTAAGTCTGTGGTATTGTTGCAGGCGAGCACCTTGTCTGTCATGTGCTAGCAGGATAAGCTTTCAGCAGCTCATTAATTGCTGAGACCTGATTGCACTTTGCTCTGTCTCCAGTGCCACAATAATATATACTGTCTATAAGAAGTGAGGAGGCTGGGTGAGGTGCAAGGAGTTCTTACAATCTGGAGAGAAGTGGAATATCTCAGGGCACGACAAGGAAATTATGAATAAAATACTTTCTATTTCAGCTTAGGAGTCAAAAGGACATCAGCAGTACAGGACCACCTACATAGAGGAATGTCACACTCATAGTACTTTAGGAAGACAAAGGGCCCGTCTCATGTACTATATATACACACATAAATCCGCCTATAGAACATAATCTGTGGAAGATGAGGTCTATTGTTGTAGAGAACAAGCAGTCAAGTTCAAACTCAGTAGCAGCTCCTAATTATTCAAAAAATAAAAGATGTGGAGGACATCTCGCCATTTCTGATCTTAACCCTGAAAACTGTCAGGAGAGATGAGCTGATAGTGAAGTCTTTGTTCCGGCGTGACAATCATTGACGCATTACGTGGGACACAAAGAGCGTATGGGAAAGTGCAGAGGCTGGAGTAACCTTAAGATTGTCCCTGAGAATTACAGGACCGCCTGGCTTTGTCTGGCTTTCTTCCCAGAGCTAACCTTGCGCCCAGGTGTTCCACAGAGGACTAAAGAGGCCGGAGAAAAACAAAGTTAAACACTTTCAAATGGGCCCGGGGATTAGCGCAACAAGCTATTACTTGTTAATATGGTGCCATTCTCCCACAGTTTGAGGGCAGTTAACCTCGGGTGTGACTGGCTTCTGTTTGAAGGGTCACAACCTCGCAGAGCCTCACGCACTAAAATAGCACGTGATTATAGACCTTGTTTAAAAGTAAATATAGGCGCTCAAAGCAGCTGATCTAAGCCAGCCCCGTTCAGTCTTTTATGAGAAAGAAGAATACACCTACTTAACTGTGACTTTTATGGAATACCCTCTGTACATCTAATATCTATGTTATTTGAAAATTCCATTTGCATAACCCCAACTTCACTTTTGAATAAATGTATACTAAATATAGCATGCTATTATATTTTTGGGGGAAAACACACTGTTCTTTAGTTTGAGAGAAGCATTGTGTGTGTGTGTGTGCACGCAACTCTTTTGAAGCCTCTGTTTGCTAACTTGGTCCTTATCACAGTTAATAACTCGGCTTGCACAAAAACACTCAGTAGCTACTTTAGGAACCTCAAAAGACAAAATGATCTGCTTAGGTTGCTTATGGTTGTTTACTATGTAAACCTTAGCTTTAAGTAATCTGGTGGTGAAAATGTACTTACTGGGTTCCTGTTTTATTGTTTGTTTTTTTCCGTTTGAGGGTTCCTGCAGACATGGAACTTATACAATAACAATGAATACTACAGTGCAAAAAATATTACAGTATATTCCATCTTATTTATTGAATGAGGGGAAATGATTAAACAATTCATATTAATACAAATATATACAAAATTAAAAATAACTACTGGTTGAAGTAATAAGCCAGAGCCAAATACCAAAGTGCAGGACTTTCATCAGCAATTAAACTTAACCTCCTGTTTCACTGTGATGTTACATGTCATCTGATTTGTTCAGGCTTGTATGCATGAAAATCCTTTAGCTTTCAGTTATGAAGAGTTCCAGGAAAACTGTACAAATGGTAAGAAATAAACACAGATAGAAAGTAGTGATTATTAAATGGCAGAATGGAAATTCAAGGTAAGGGTTTATAGCAGATGATCACACTGAAATGCAGTACTAATACCGTATACTGTATTTGCCATAGGAGATATTATCATTTTTCTTTCGAGAAATGTGTGTGTGTGTCTATATTATTTATATAATCCCTTATATGTTTCTCTTGATAGAGGGCAAATAATTGAAAAGCAAAGACAAGCTGGATTCCAGCCAAACGCAGCAACATCTTCTCTAAGAGCTTTATAAAATGAAAATAATCGGTGGAAAGTGATACTGTGTAACCTTCGTGGATAAACATGTGAGGCTGGGTCACAGACAGAAGCAAAACCAACAACGCAATTAAAGAAAAAAAACACTTTTAGCTGCTACAGTTGGCAGACTACATTTGTAGCTCATCTCCTCGGTCTGTTTTATCATCACAATTGAAATGCTTGTTAAAAATGAGCTTGGCTTATGTTACCAGAAGGCACTTATGACAGCAAATATGTGTGTGTCAGCACTAGACAGTTATCATGAAACCTAAAGCCAAGTATTTAGTTAAGTACACTTACACATAAAAAAATAATTAAAGGACATTACGGAGCTATTCCCAGCAGTACGGTGCAAAACCAATACAATTAGGGAATGCACAGCATAGGGATCATTTCTATTCTCCAGCTATCTGAAGTTGCTCTGTGAGGCATAAAGTAACCTCCAGAACTAATTAAAAACCAAAAGGAACTCGATTAAAAGAAGCAGAAAATAAATTAACTCTTTTTTTACCAAATAAGTGTGAAACCAGTGGAGGGTGAAATCCAACTTGATTAGAGAGAAAGATGGTGAGAAAGAACACTAACAGGTAAGCATTGTATCTGATCAAGAGAGAGGTTTTAATCAGCAAGAGACCATGACATGAAGTAACAACAAATAAATGCAAGAAAATTAGTTATTTCTGCTATTCCAGTGTCGACTAGAGACACATGACACATTGTAGATGCCATTTAAAAAAAAAAACATATTTTCACACAACTCTACAAATATTCTGTATATGATTTCAATTAGCAGAGAAACCTCCAGCTCCCATTCAGTGTGTCTAACTGTTCAAACTCGACACAGAGTTTATATCTTAAGTGTGGCGATCTCATGACCGATGCTTATTAAAATCTTCTTCAGAAGTAGGCCTACTATAAAACCTCAAGAGCTTTACAAGGACACAATGGACACGATGGCTGAGCCGGCGCTGGAATGACAAAGGACCGGAGACTGCACCGCTGAGACCTATTTTAACAGGGCAGTTCAACACACACACACACACAGGGCCTCATGTGGCACTGGCAAACATTCATAACATGCTGGATCTGCGCCCTGAGTGTGTGCCTAGCCAAGTGTTAAATCTGACTTGATTTCAGAAGGGAGCCGAGGTCGCACAAAGGCCTGTTTGAGGAACTAATGGCAGCCAGGCGATTAAATGAAGACATATTCTCTGGTCCTGAATAGTCAGGACAATCAGCAGCACATCTCCGCATCCCTCTCATCGCGACACACAATCAAACTCTCTGTTAGGCAGTAAAGGAATAGATGACAGGCTTGCCAAGCTCTGAATTCAGCTAGTGCCAATAGTTTACCCAAAACAAGACGAAGAAATAAAAGACAGATGACAGAAACAACCATTACTCTGGTGATCAAATCTACATAGCTGTGTAGAGAAGCACAGAACTAAACAAACTGGGTCACAGACGCTGCAAGTATTGTGAGTGCCTTACCTTTGAAGGACAGGAAGATCCTGGGAGCAGAGAGGGGCTCAATGAAGGCGGGCAGCGCCCCAGACGATAAGGCCAGCAGGGCCAGTAGCCAGCACAGTTTGTCCCACAACATTGTCCCTCTGTTTGTTAACAGAGCAGAAGTAGAGTCCGGGAGCTGAGGGACAGATAGGGTTGAGCATCAGTCAATTATCCTCTACTTTAAACCAATTGTAGCAACCAATTACAGCCACATTGTGTAGTTTTAATAAAGCTTACTGAAGTCATGCAACGACACAGATCCCAAGGCAGGGACCGAGACACAAAGCTAAACACTGGATCTGTTCCTGCTATAGCTGCCATGCTTTGAATGTATATTATGGGGGAGTATAAATGCTTAGAATCTTGCCTAGGTAATTATATTAGGGTGTGCAATAGAAAGTAACTTAACCTCAACCGTAAAACCTGACAGTTGGGGTCTGGAAATATACTCTACTGGTTCAGCATTGATTTTCCATCATTGCTACTGGGTTTTATCATGAATCTGTCATTGTAATGTGCCCCTGCTGTTATTCTTGCCTGTGTCTGCTTCTGTGTGCTGTAAGAGCAACAGCGTGGATGACCGGAGACACCTTCCAGCTGGAGAAAGAGGAGCTGCGTGCACCTCCCTGCTCACTTTTCATACATACGGACACAAAACGTGTTTGTGAAAGCGTCAAATTCCTGGTCAAGAAATATAGCACTGTTACCCACAAAGAGCTGAATTTCACCGCGGAGATGCCTCGTTGAGCCCGGCGCGCACGAGCAGTGCTCACCATGAACATGCGAATATCAGCCACAAAGAGAGCTGAAGTTAATAATATCCCCATAAAAGGATTTAAAGACGCTCCAAGTTATCAGCGTGCGGATGAGGTGGCACAGCTGTATAAAAAAAAGGCTTGTACAATTAATTGACCGTGCCATGTTGGGAGAATATTTATTTTAGAGAGGGTGTTTTGCTGTAATCATCCATTCATCTACTCGTAAACGTGGATTTGAGTCTGAGGTCAAACTGTTAGTCCGGGTTTGAGATCAAGTTCCACATTGAGCCCTAAAGGCACAACTCCAAAGACCGTTAACCAAAATAAAGCGTGACTGGGCTTTGACTTATGAGGACATGAACATGAACCACGTGCCATTTATAAGAGGGTTTTAGACAGTAAGTAACGTTGAGTGCTAGTTAGACTTATATTCGATCACTGTGAATATAGCAGATTGTAAAGATACAGCATCACATGCAGCCAAAACTTTCAGTGCGTCCTGCACGTTGTCCACATAACACGCGCACCACACACACACACACACACGCACACACACACACACACACACACACACACACACACACACACACACACCACTGCTCTTTGCTCATGCAGTATTTGAAATTGGTATTTGCGAGTAGAACTGATCATTTAAAACTACCTCCCACGCGCCAGACAAGATCAGCCAAACATAGAAATAGGCTAACTGAAGTCTGTTGCTTAAAATAAAATGTTCTCAATTTTCTGACTGAAAATATTCTATTTTTTTTTTCCAGAACTTTTAAGATACATTTTAAATATTAGAGCCATAATCTTACACGTGAAGCATGCATCATTCCTTTCGACTCCACCAAATGTTGCTTCCGACTGTTTTATAAGCACATCTGTCTCAATACAGATAACGAATCTGACTTGTATAAAAACATCACTTGCATTATGACCCACCTTCTAGTTCCGTCCAGTGAATATTGTGTTAAAGCTGGTCAACATTTAAAACCATCCACTGCCGATCCTTTGAGCTCCTCTGTCCGCACGCAGGAGTAGTATCAGTGTATCCGCCGCAGATCCTGCACGATTATCCCCAGAGCCGAACAAAGCTTGGATTCAAATGAACTTGACGCAGCCGCCTTAACTTGGAGTGATCTCTAAATGGTATCAACAGATTGTGTATTTTCCACTGAAGGAGGTTTGAAACAAAGAGTTGTTCCTGGAGAAGAGTGGCGGAGAGGAGCGTCCAACACGCGCAGCGGCGCTCAAGTGTGTAGTGCAAGAAAGCGGCTTCTGCAGGTGGATACACTGAGGTCTCCCGGCCAGTGGACACACCCATGGGGGAGGGAACCCACCTTAGCGTCCCCGCGCTCCGTCCCGCCCCAAAATTTAGCACAAAGCAAATCAGATCTGTATCTTCTTACTCTCCTCAGAAGAGGTAAACTCACTTAAAACGACGAAGAACAAACTATAGCCTACATGTAATATAGTGCAGCTGGTGGAGATGTTCCCTTCAACACAGGGGGAGTTATTATAAATGTTATGTTACTAACAAAACATATGTTTCCTTTAGAAAATGAAAGTTAGTTTTAAAATCTGGTTTTCATTATACTTTAAAAGCATTTGACAACAGATATTTGTGCGTGCATTCTCATTGTCATACATTTCCCACTGATCAGTAATTATCATATCACATCTCTCACATATTCATATTCAGTTTTTTTTATCCTATTAAGTGTGGGAACACAGCAGTTAGGCTACTTTTGCACTGCTAGTATGTTATAGTTTGTGATTTGTTACTGTAATAAAACCTAAAGCTTTTAGTAGAATAGAATGATGCAGTTTGTTTTCATTACAATTAGCATTTGCTATTGTCACCAAAGGTAGACGTATTAAGATCAAGATAAAGGTACATTAAGATAAAATAAGCAAAGGCATGCATATTTGTGGAGCTCTCAAACAACAATTTCAATTAAAACATCTCCATAATGACTTATTGCAGAATACACAATGTAAAATACACATGCTGGCTGTCATAGAGGAAACATAGGGACTTGTGATAATGTGATGTAAACTTTATTTTGCCTCAGAGAAGTAATATTTTGCTGACACAAATTCACAGCCATGTCCAAACTGCATACAACAATAAGGTTTAACAATTATTTTTGATTGTCCTGAAGAAGCTGGATTATCAAAATAGTACTGAAGTCATTTCACAACTTGATCAGCCTGTGACTGCCAGCTACTGATTTTTATTTGCTGGCTGGTGCCAACACTGAGTTGTGCTGAGAAGTGTTCAGATGCCAGGTCTGAGCCAAACAATTGTTCAGTATCTGCTGGTATTGGCAGTCTCACAGTATGGAACAGTGTTTGCTTTTTGAAGGAGACATGAATTACTTACTATATTTTGACTCAAAAGGAGAATAACCGAGCCGACAATGATTTCAGATGAGAAGAAACATTTTCATTTGATGCAAGCAGCTTCTGCGTGACTCTTTGGAACAACAGGAATGTGGCGACACCTTCACTTAAGAAACAGTTGAAAAGTGGCCAGATGGAGATAAGGTAGATTTATTCAGACACCTCGACAACCTGACGGAGGATCACTGCCTCTCGCCTCAGATAGGCATCAGATATTCATGGGCAAATGGAGCCTTAAATCTTTTAATCTCACTCGATCCCTCCCCTGATCACACTGGCTTATTTTGCTTCTTATCCAGTCAAGGCACAACGCAGCTGACGCCCAGTATGCATGCTTATTATTCCATAAATGATAAATACTGTAGCGCAGGCTTCATGCATGTCTTGGAGACGCTGCTATTGCAGAAATATATAGAATCAGATAGGAATTTGAGGATACAATGACTTTCTTTTATTGAATCATGGCGGTGGAGCTGATTTACTGTTTCCTTTGTGTTAGTTCACAGGAAAGATTATGTTACAGCGAGAAACCATAAAACCTGCACCACTGAAAAAAACTGACTGGGTGGTAATTTCACTGAAACTTACTAGTGTGCTCCATTTGAAATAATAATTTAATGATGAAGGACTTCGCACGTTTATTTTGTCATTTACTTTGTCAAAAAATGTGTATAATTTCTATCTTTTTCTAACCTTTTGTCTTGAATAAATTGGGTTCATTACAAAAAGGTACTTTCATGATAAATGGGAACAAAAAGATACCAGATCTCTGGCTGAGACTTTGAGTTTTCTGTTCTTTGAACAATGTCTGAGAAAGACAATCGTTACATTAGTTTGTATGCAAAAGAGGCTGAGCAGCGTGACTCCAGGCTTTGGTGCTCATAGCAGAGGAAGGAAGAGAGCTCAGCATCAGCATTTGCCATTAAAAGTGTTAAATTTCCCCTGATACCGGCAAAGAGCTCTGGGAAAAAATTACCCCCACGCTGACGAGCTCACGCACACAATGTGGAAGATATTGACTCGCTTTAGTCCATCTGAATCTTGGACGTTCTTGAAAAATCATCAGACTCTTTTTCTCACTCACTGTTTAACATGTGCAGGTGGGCGTTTGTGTTTGAAGGGTGGTCTGAATACCAGACGGTACGGAGCCAAATGAATAACAACTTTCATAAATATCTGGAACCCCTCAGCACCCACCAAGAATAATTCAGTCAAACAATAAAATCTCTTTCCCAAAACTTCACATTTCAGCAGTTCAAACAATCTCCAATCTAAATGTTTAGTTGTGTCATTACCAATATTCTTTTTGTTTCCCTGCTCTATTCCCATTTTTCACTCTTTCTTTTTTTGTCTCAGTCTTGTAGCCAACAGCTGCATGTTGTTTTCTATATTTCTTTTTAATCAACAATATTATTCCCATCTTCAGGCCTTTGGTGGCCTCACCATCTGTCACTTGCGTGAGACAAGAGGAAAGCAATTATTGAATTCTGGCTTTGAGGAGAGCCCGCCTTCATGAAAGTCCCTCATGCTCTCCAGTTTTTCCTCCAGCATTGCTTACTCTAGCAGCTATCTGACGAGTACAATGTGAAAGATAACAATGAAACCAAAGATCACCATCGATTGTCAGACCGCAGAGGCAACACATTTAGAGGAATTCTGCAAAAAAAAAAGCGACATTAAAGCGTTTTTATTCTGCATAGGAGATGCCAGGTTTGTAAATCTGAGTTTCAATACTGCTGGTGGGAGACATAATTCTTCTTTTTCTCGAGAAGTATAATATTTGATTCAGATATTACATCACTTCACTTCTAATGCCTCACTTTTATCAGACTAAACCTGCCAGTTTCCACAAAGCAACTTTGACGGCAAGTTGTACATATCTATTTAAAAGCGTTGTCATTTTCCTGGAGGACTTGAACGCAACGCTGCATAGATTATTGTTATCGCTCTCACTGAGTCCTCTGAGAGTTGCTCATAAGGAGCTTTTTACACTTCTTTATCCACTGTAACTCTATAATGAGGAAATAATGCACCACATTAACATTCACTGTGGAAGACACTGGTGGTTTTCATGGAAACAGGTGCCAGTGGGGAATACAAATCCAGGCAGTATAAGAGCAGAGGTCACTCTCTCATGTGAGTTTCATTACATTCAATGAATTTTCCTCTAACCTTTTGTCATCAATGACTCCACCAGCTACAGTAATTATGAATAGGCTGTGACAACCTCAACCTCTGTCTGCTGCCTCCACCACATGATGGGGAGGCAATTAACAGCTGTTCATTAATGATGAGGTGAAGAAACAAGTGCACCAGCACACTGCTGCGCACATCTGCTGTGCGCACACATCTAAATGACACAGACGGATGTGAGTGCACACAACTGACCACACACATTACACTAGCAACACACACAGAGCCGAGGATGCCGTGACACACAGAAAGGCCCTCAGTTTGTGTAGAATTTAATGAGGGAACATGTACTCATCCCTCCACCTAACCGGGAGGGCTGTTACCTTTTGGTGTGATAAGATATTAAAAATTCACACGGTTTCTGCAGCGCTTTGACTAGTACGGCAGCGCGCTCATTAGCATTTAAATGGAAAAAAGATAACGCCGCACTTCGCAGAGTCATACCTCCAACACAAATCTGGCAGACAGAGGAGAAAACTTGAATCAGGCCCTGAAAACTTTGGTTGTTTTTAGATACCTGAGACATTTTCTTACTAGCGACTTTTTTTACTTTGCTTTTGTACGTCATACCACAACCATCCATATATCTAACTTTAGACAATGCCTTTTGAACAAAAAATCTATTGTTTTTAAGGCAAGTCTCAATCTTTACACCGCAAACCTATAAAATCCCACATCAAATTTCACGTTACAGTTTTGTAGTGGGAATTATAGGACAGTTTGCTTTATGTTCCCAGAAGCTAAACGTTACAAAAGATAATTAAATGCAAAAACTCAAAATAGAAATGCTGACTCTGAGGCCAGTCTCTTTTTGTTGGAGCAGTTCCACAGATTTTGTCTTGTTGCTGTAACATTAGAGCCACAATTCTATGTTTTTGTTCAACAAATACAGCAATAAATGTTAGTCTTCAAGTTCATTCATGCCTGCAGAGACTTTGGAGAATCCCATTCAGACTACATACTGTTTGTGAGTGACCCCAAACTAGATCTTTGCTATTTATGTTGGCTTCATATGATGCTGGCAATGTTGACTTTAACAATAAAATATTGAAGACACTGTGAAGATAAAACAATAGACTCTCTGTTATGCTAATAAATGTAGAGGACAATGTCATTGCTTGCTTGTGAATCTGCAGTCAGCCAATCATAGATGCTGTTTAGCGCATACATTATACTACATATGAGTATAGTACTCATACATGCCTTTTGAGCTGCACTCTTAAGGTTAATGGCATTCTTTTCTTCGTGCATATTTCTCTCATCCAGATCTCCCTGTGCTTGGCTTGATTGTCATTTTCATGCTTGTTTTTTGTTTCTCAGTCTTTTGTCACACAAACTGACTGTGACTCAGCTGGAGCTCTGCGATGCTAAAAATGGGACAGCTGCCTTTTTAAAAAAATGACACAAGTTTGTCTCATTGTATCTGTCTCACATGTCTCCTGCCTGGGAAATGGAGGGAGTAGGGCAGCTATGGTGGGATGATTTGGTATGAATTAAAGCTGTTTCCTAACAGGCTCCACAGGGTCTGATCCTGTCCCCTGCATGTCTGGTGGATTCCCTCCACCAGTATCAACCAGAGGAGAGCATGTATTACGTTACACCAGCTCTTTTTTTGCCCTTGTCTTTTTTTTTTCTCCTCACAGTAAACTGTACTGCAAACAATAACAGTGGCTTTATATTTAGCATGACTTTGT